CCTCAGATGTGGACAGAGCGAAGAACGCGCGGCCCGACTACAGAGCGCGCTAACTATCACAATAAACGCCAAAACTAAATCAAGGTCTCTTTTCTGCGCGCAAACAATAATCCGGTTTTCAAACCGCGAAACTCCGTGACGTCACTCTCTTTCGCAACTTTTCGCCCAAAACCCCCTTCGCGCGCCCCCTCCCGCTCCCAACCCCTCGATTGCCAGTTCTCACGCTTTTCCACCAAAAATGCGTTCTCGAGAAGAGTTGGAAAACCCGAGTCTTTACTATTAATTCTCTGATTCGCGCTTTGGTTCGCATTCGCCGTCAAATCAAACGACGACTGGTTTTCGTTCCGTCACTTCAACACCAGATGTCGCGCTCAGCCTCACGTCTGACGTCATCACTCAGTCGTAAATCACATGAATTTTGAGTAAACATTCGGTTTTCGAAACGCTTTTTATCGCAAAATAAACACTTTTTCTGCGCTTTTGTCTCTCCTTTTCAGCCTTCACTCGGACAAAGGCTTCCCTTATCTCTCTCTCTCTCAGTCGACAATCACTGCTCTGTTCTCGTGTCGAGTCCAGAGTCCGCGCGGAGACCAAAGAGCGCATCCGAAGGTCTGGTCGACCATCAATTACGTCCACTCTTTCGTTCATTTTCCTTTGAAAAGCCTTCGAAACGAAAGCCGTAATTAATGACGAGAATAGAAAACAGGTTTTAATTGCGAAATACGTTTCGTTTGTCTCTCAAAAGCTCTGTATTTGCGGCCACTCTATGGCAGAGGCGCACTCAGCCGTCGCCTTCTCCTTCCAGGTCACCCACGAAGGCATGTCTCTCTCCTTTTCACTCCTGTCCGCCACTAACCGCTCTCTCCGCAGGCGTCCGCATCAACTACGACCAGCAGCTCTTGCATGAGGTCTGGCTGTCGGGACTGCGCTCGTGGAGGAACCGTCTCTCGCGCTTCGCCGTAAGTCCGTCCACTCGCGCTCATGACCTCTGACCCCTCACCCCTCTCACGCGCTCTTCCTTAGAACAACTTCAAGTCCGGGATCTACCCGTCGAGCGTCGAGTTTCTCGTCACAATCGTCGCTCTCGTCTTCTCTTCGCATCTCTTCCTCCCTTTCGACCCCTCTTTAGGTCTCATTCACGCCATCGATGCGTTCGTCGCGCGCCGGCTCTCCGCGTCGTCGTCCGTGTCGTCGTGCGTCGCGTGCGTGTCGTTCGCTGTCGTCGTGTGGCTCTTGAAGATGCTGTCAATGCGTTACGCTTTGAAACTGCTTCTCATGTATAAGCAATGGATGTACGAATCGCGCGCTCACAACAGTCAGTCCTCGACCCCCACTCTCTCACCTCATGACCTCTGACCCCTCTCTCGCGCAGAGCCCTCGACGGCCACCAAAGTCTGGCTTCTGTTGATCCGCGCGCTGACGGCCCACAAGTCTCCGTCGCTGTACTCCTATCAGGCGTCGTTGCCGCGCCTCCCACTGCCCCCTCTCGACCAGACCATCGCGCGCTACCTCCAGTCCGTGCGCCCCCTCCTCGACGACACGGCGTTCGCGCGCACCACCCGTCTGGCCGAGCAGTTCCGCGACGGCGTCGGCCGCAAGTTCCAGCGCTACCTTTGGCTCAAGTCGTGGTGGGCCTCCAATTACGTGAGCGACTGGTGGGAGGAATTCGTGTATCTGCGCGGACGCGCGCCGCTTATGGTCAACTCCAACTTCTATGGCATCGACGCTCTCGTGACGGACGGACTGACCTCTAAGCAGACGGCGCGCGCCGCGAATCTCGTTTATGCGAGTCTTTTGTTCCGAAAACAAATCGATAGACAAGAACTAAAACCGGTTTTTATTTTGAATTTCGCGCCGATTCCCGAACTCATTGTTGTCTCGCTCGCAGATTCTCGTCCAAAATCTCGTGCCGTTGTGTTCCGCGCAATACGAGCGCGTCTTCAACACGACTCGCATTCCCGGCGCAGACGCGGACCGACTCTCGCACTTGACGGACTCGCCACACATCGTGGTGCTGCACTCCGGCAAGTTCTACAAACTCACGATTCACCACAAGGGGCGTCTCCTGCAACCCAAACAACTCCAACAACTGCTCGACCAAATCGTCGCCGACGACGCGCCCGCCAACAACGGAGAGTCGCGTCTCGCCTCTCTCACGGCCGCCGACCGCCGCACGTGGGCCGACACGCGCCACAAGTGGTTCTCCAAAGGCATTAACCGAATCTCGTTGTCGGCCATCGAAAAGGCGGCCTTCGTTCTCGTGCTCGATTCCGAGCGCTTTGAGGCGGAAGACGCGGCGAAACTCGACCGTTACGGACAACTCCTGCTTCACGGCAACGGAAACGACCGCTGGTTCGACAAGTCCTTCAATCTGATCGTCGCGCGCAACGCCAGAGTCGGCTTCAATGGCGAGCACTCGTGGGCCGACGCGCCCGTTATGGCGCACCTCTGGTCTGTCCTCACTTTCTATTGCATATAAACTCAACTCTTTATTCAACAGGGAGTTCGTCCTCCACTACGACTTCCATGTCCTGCAGTACGACGACGACGGCAACTGTCGTCTCGGCAACGGAGTGGACGACGCGTCGCCTCCCATTCGCCTCAAATGGGATTTCGCGGACCCATTGTTGCGCGTCATTGACGACAGCTTTCGCAACGGTATTCCGGCTCTCAATTCAAACCCTGTATTCACTTCGCTCTCATTGGCCAACAGCTCAAGCTCTGCTCTCTGACGTCGATCTGCGGCTCTTCCGTCACGACGCGTACGGAAAGGGATTCATAAAGACGTGTCGCGTCTCTCCCGACGCCTACATCCAGATGGCGCTGCAATTGGCCTATTTCCGCGACCAGGGACACCTCTCGCTTACCTACGAGGCCTCTATGACGCGCCTCTTCCGCGAGGGCCGCACCGAAACCGTGCGTCCGGTGACCGTCGAGTCTGCGCAGTTCGTGCGCGCCATGGAGTCGCCCGACGAGAGCGCGTCCGCGCGGAGGGAGTTGTTGCGCGCGGCGTGCGGTCGCCACCAGAGGGCGTACCAGGAGGCCATGTGCGGCAAAGGCGTCGATCGGCACCTCTTCTGTCTTTACGTCATTTCGCAGTACTTGGAAGTGGAGTCCGAGTTCCTGAAGCAAGTGCTGTCCGAGCCCTGGAAACTGTCCACCAGTCAGACGCCGCACGGACAGGTGGGGCTGTTGGACGCGTCAAAGAACCCGCGCCACATCTCTGCGGGCGGCGGCTTCGGGCCGGTGGCGGACGACGGATACGGCGTCTCGTATATCGTCGCCGGAGAAGACGTCGTCTTTTTCCACATCTCGTCGAAGCGGTCGTCGAGCGCCACAGACTCCCAACGCTTCCGCCAACACATCGACGGCGCGCTCCGCGATCTCCGCTCTCTCTTCTGAGATGACGTCACTCTTAGATGCACTCAACAATGCAATCGCTTTTACGCAAAGATTTTATACTCTTTTTAAATAAAGCTCTTAAACAATGTTCTCTCTTCTCATTGATCGACGAATCGTCTCAAAGCACGCAAAACAGCGCGCGAACCACTCGTTCAAAAAATCACTCAGCGATTGTAACATTGTGCTGATTGTCGCGCGCGGACCGAAGCGAAAGCCAATTCGCATTCAAACCTCTCATTAAAATTGCTGCTCTCCTTGCAAACACACTCTCGCCGCGCGATCCCCTCCCCTCCCCTCGCATAGGGCTTACCCGCGAAGACGGAGGCGATGGCGGCTAAAGGAGGAGAGAAGGGATTAGTTGTTTGCGAAGAGATTTGCGTTCAAACCGATGGCGAAAGAGATGCAGACGGAAGGGCCGGAGTTGCGCGACGCCACGTCTCCCGCCAACACATACACTCCCAGACCGAGCGTCGATCCGATTCCTGAGGAATGAGAGGATTAGAGGACCGGAAACGGAAGCACTTCTCACCCAAACACGTCAAGTCGAAGAGCGAGAGGACGCGCGCGAGTTGACTCTCGTCCACGGATTGGCCGTCGATTCGCTTTTTGCGGACCAGAGCTCTGAGAAGGGATTCGTCGGACATTTCGTTGCAGATATTGAATGCATTTGAAGGCAATATTCGTTATAAAAACCGATAAAACACTTGATTTGATAAGAATTCAACTTTTTTTTAATGTCAACTCATATCTCAATAAATTTGCATAAAATGTGTGTTTTGTCTGATTTTTGCTCTCATTTTCGACTTTTTTCCGCCGATTTCTCGATCGCGAGTAAAAGACGTCTCATTTTTGACACAATTTCCCAAAAAAGTGGAATTAAATTGAATTAAAAACTAAATCATTGAATGAATTGAAGTTTTTTGACATTCATTTAGTTATCAAACGAACTCTTATCGCAAAGCACTTCTCAATTGTGTGTCGAAGGGATCGCCAAGAGGGTGTCGCCAACGATGACGCCAACGGCCACTCTTTCATCGGAAATGCAGTTTAAAAGCAATTGCGAAGAATTGAATGCTTTTGAAAGAAAACTAAACTAAGAATTGTCTCGTTTCTCAAACAAACCTGCGGCAAACCCCGCTGAGAGCCCCTCTCTCGCCTTCGCCTCCGCTTCCCTCCTCTCCTCGCCGCTTTCACCGCGAGCACGCCGTTTTTGCGCGTTTGCAAAGCAGTAAAGTTTGTAAACAATGTTTTGACGTCAATGTCGTCTTTGGAGTCGTTTGAGGCCAAGATCTGTCTTCTGGGCGTAAGTCTCGCGAATGTGTGTCTCTTCTCACGCCTTGTCTCCCGACAGGACTCAGGAGTCGGCAAATCGTCGCTCGTAACGGTATTTCGCTCGCAATTGGCGGCCATTATCTCACTTTCCTCTCTTCCAGCGCTTCGTTCACAACACTTTCAACGCTCACAACGAGTCGACAATCGGGTAACGAATGCCGTCCTCTCATTGGCTGTCTCTCATCCGCTCTCTCCTCCAATCAGCGCCTCTTTTATGACCAAAACGTTCGTTCAAAACGACACTCAATTCAAATTCAACATTTGGGACACCGCTGGACAGGAAATGGTCAGTCTTTCTGTCAGTCTTTGCCTTTTGTTCCGCTCTCTCACCACTTCCTCTCTGCCGACAGTACCGCGCGTTGGCCCCCATGTGAGTCCCGATTGGTCCGTAAACTCCGCCCTAACCCCTAACCCCGCCCTCCCGCAGGTACTACCGACAGGCGGCCGTCTGCATAGTGGTGTATGACGTCACGCAAGAGGTGAGCGAAGAGTACAGTGATTGGTTGTCTCATTGGTTTTGGCGTTTCAGGAGTCCTTCCGTTCCGTCCAGTCGTGGGTTCGCGAACTGCAGACGCATTTGTCGCGCGACAAGACTCTCATCGCAATCGTCGGCAATAAATGCGATTTGGAGTTCGCGCGCAAAGTCGCGACCAAAGGTTTGTCGACCAATGAGCGCGCGTTTCAATTCAACTCTCTCTCCAATCAGACGGCAAGGCGTTGGCGGAGGCGATGAACGCGCTGTTCGTCGAGACGTCTGCGGCGCGCGATCTCAACGTTCGCCAATTGTTCCAAACTATCGGTCAGTCTTTCGATCGATATATCGATAAATAATCCGTTTTCCGCTCAACAATAGCCCAGCGATTGCCGCCGCGAGAGACGAGACCCCAATCGCCTGGACTCCGATTGGACGGCGCGTCGGAAGCCCCGCCCCGAGACGCCCGCAAGTGCTGCTGAGGAGGCGTTCTATTTATGGATTTTTTTTGCAGATTTTATTTATTTATAAAAGACTTTATTTTCGAGAAATATATTGTTTTTACCGTTAATGAGATTTTGTGTTCAATATTAAGCTCTAAAAGCGTTCTCTCGCTCTCAGGATTACTGCGAGGGGAGGGGAGGGGATCGCGCGGCGAGAGTGTGTTTGCAAGGAGAGCAGCAATTTCAATGAGAGGTTTGAATGCGAATTGGCTTTCGCTTCGGTCCGCGCGCGACAATCAGCACAATGTTAC